ATTTTCTGCGCCGACTTCGATGATAAATTAACGCGATCCGTGGCACGAGACCAACGTTCGATAGATTATTGCGCGGTATTGCGTAAATTCCGCGTAATGCAACGTTCGATGGTATAAATTATAGGGAGATTAGCGATTGGAATCGTGCGCGATATGGAAAATAGAATTCGTTTCTATACGCGAAGCGGTACGGTGAATCGAGAGAGAAGTAAGTACAGTGCTACCTCGAATAGGCACCACTGATCCTTCCATTTTTCTCCTTATGTATCACATTATTTCTTATTCGCCGTCACAAAGAAAACTGTAAACGTAAACGCTAAATGGGTAAATCGATTGGAAATATTTCCAGAAAAAAATCCGCGTACAAATCGAAACCGCGTTGTTCCAGGGAGCACTGTACTCTTGCGGACCACGTAAACGTGCAACGTAACGTTCCGCAATACCGGGTAGACGAAGTATTTCAGACTGACTGGTTGCTACTTTGTTTTCCATTACTTTTCTATCCGTAGACATTTCTGCAGGTTTTGCGTGAAGCATCTTAGACAAACAGTTATTGCGTTCTGAGATTTTCATATGTAACACCAGGTTGTGCAACATCTATCACACCCCTTGTGTACTCGAACGGTACAAAGAGTTAGGAAATGCAATAAACGCACATTTCCACGCATATTCTCTATATTATTCAAAATTGCAATTGTTTTCCTCTTGAATCGTACACACGGTACATCACGTCGAGAGGCATTTTTATTAAAAACTTTCCAAAATACCCAAAAGAGTTCTATATCAGTCGAAGAAGATAACACGAAGGTAAACACTTTACAGCCTGTCCCTACAGCGATAATAGATAAGCTCGAGTGACTGAATTACTTGACACCGTTGTCTTTTTCCTCATTGTGTGTGTACACAGATGACATGCAGATTATTTATGCTTCGAATAGTTTGTATTCCCCGTAATACGTATTAAACAGATGAAATATCATTCGACTTCTATCTTCGGAACTGAATCCCGGCATCGAGAACTCCCTCCACCTCGAAATGGTATCAAAAACCTTGACCTTGGTCCAGATTCAAGTGCCTCGTTCCCACCCTAGCTGAAAAGCCCCTTCAAGCCTACTTTTGCAATAATGATACCCACTGCTTATCACCTTCCAAGCGACAGAGGTATCAAAAACCTTGACCTTCCCCTTGAGTGGCCCTTTTCTTCGGCCAACTCCTTCGAGCCTACCGCAACGACCATGAAAACTCCTCTTTCTCTCTAAAGACGAATTCAACATTCCTGTATGTGTCTATAATACATCTATAAAATCCTTCTATTCATTCTCCCGCTGTACAGTCAAACGAGACTTTTCAAGCTTTCACGGCATCTTGGATAGCATGAATTACCGTTCGAAGCTTCCGGGTTTGAGCCGTGTCCAAAGTTTATTGAATTCCGTCGTTTCGCCAGCATTGCAGTTAGCTTCATCAAGAGACACTAATGTCTGCACCCTGATGGAACTAACTGTAATGCTGGCGAAACGTCACAATTCGATAAACTTTGGACACGGCTCAAACCCGGAAGCCTCCGACAACAATTCAAATTCAAGTTGTACCATCAACTATATACTATAGATCGCTAAGGTTAACCCCTTGCCTAACGATTTCTTTAACCTACGCTATTGCTATAATCTATTGGGTTGGCAACTAAGTCATTGCCGATTTCAAATAAGAAGGCAAATTCAGAATTTTTGTTAAAGTTACAGCAAACGTTCTTCGTTCGTCACATCCTGACTGCAAAGAATCTAACGAGGAAAAGCCAGACTCACCGGATTATTGGTGAGTGCCGAGGTGGACGCAGCGGTAGGATGGTGGTCGTAATCCAGGTACTCGTCCCGATGGTACCTCCCGGAACCGTGTCTCTCCCTGTCGTCCCTGACGTCTCTGAGGTCCGCGACGTGACGAAAGTTCCGGATGTCGCGTAGGTCGCGCTGTTCTCGGAGGTCGCAACGGCTCACGTGGTTCCGTTCACCGGCAAGCTGCCTCGACATCGCCGTCGGATTCTCCTCCTCCGAGTCGAGCAGCAGCTGCTCGACTCCACCGCCACCTCCTCCACCACCACCTCCGCCACCTCCAGCACCACCTCCGCGTTGGGCGGGATAACGCCGGAGGTCACACCATCCTACCTCCTCCTCTTCCGCCCCTCCGGCGACCTTGCCGCGGGGCAACCGAGCCGTGCCTGGGGCCCTCACGACCGATCTGCCTCGAACCTCCTGCCCCCGCGACCCCCCGGGGGGCTCCACCACATCACACCCAAACGCGACGCTTCTTGGACCCCTCACGACCTAACTCTTCTTCTTCCACTATGCACACCCTCTCTTCTTTTCCGCTCTTCTTCTGCTTTTCTTCTCTCAGTCCACACCCCTCTTTTTCTCTTCTTCTTCTTCTTCTAGTCTTTCCGGTGTATGTTTCTTTTCGGGGGTGGTTCGTTAGGAGGACGAGAGCTTGTTAGAGATTCGAGGGATGTCTCGTGAGCTGGCACAGGTTGACTCGCGAGGAAGCTGAGCGGCAAACGGCGACGGAGCGACGGTGGAAGACGAGCGGAAGTGGCGAGAAAGTGGCGGCTGAAAGTGACGGAATGCTCACTTCGAGTGGCTGTAAACAGAGAGACACCAGGGGGAAGAGGTTTAACGTTGATCGATTCAGACGTGATCCAAGGTTCGAGGGAAATTGGATTATTTGTAAGACGTGTGTACGAAAATATACCCGTGGATATAGAGGTTTTTATGTATACAAATAATACAAGGGACAGAGGAGAGACTGTTCGGCGAACAGTTTCTTCAGGCT